GCAGTGCACCCTCGGGTGAGCTCACAGTCACGGCTGCTGCCCCTGTGAGACCCTCGTCCTTACTCAGGTCCCCTCCCCGTGGCAAACCATTCCATCTTTCCAGAAACCTACCCCTCCATTGGAGGAGCCAAAATCTCTTTCCCTGTAGCTTCTGCTTGGAGCCCTAAGGCCTTTTCCATTGCACTGAAATGAATCCTTTAGATCCCTGAAGCTTGGTGGCCCCCCATATTTGGGTTTTCTTGAGGCTGCTACACTCCTTCAGCTGCTGCTCATGTGTCACAGCCTAGTCCCTTTGTCTTCTGCTGGGACCCCTCAGGACATATAGGAACATGTCCCAGGTAGTCTTTATCCCTTCTAAGGTGGGAGCCCAGGGGTCAAATGCAGTTTTCTGAGACTTATCACAATGGAACTGTCTTCCTGTCAGCAGAGAGAAATACACCAGCGATGCTTTGGGTGGGGAGGTGCTGGAGGGTTCTTGCCGCCGCCTCACCCTTGGCTGGGATGTTGGAGGAGTAACTGAGTTTTTCGCTGGGCCCAGATGGAGCAGTGGTGCTGCGTCCGGGTGCTAGGAAGAAGGGCGCACTGTACAGCGCTGGGACAGGGAAAAGGGATCAGAAGCTGGGATGTCCTTGAAGGACGTGACAACTGAGCAAGAAGGGGAAGTCCGTTGCAGGCTCACTTCCTACGAGTAGAAGGCAAAGGCCTTTGGGTCCCTCAGGATGCCTGTTCCCCCTCCCTCCACCTGCCTGTTCTTACCCACGTGTGTTTTAAATGAACGTTGCAACCTATTTTGCAGGAGGCAAGGACTTTTCCATTCTCTCTCTCCACTAAGAATTGATCTAAAAACAAATAGCAGACAAACCAAACATTCCTTTCTTAAAATACAGTAAATGGAATTTTTAAGAAACCCTCAGTCTCTTTGGTTCCTTTTTAGGGCCCTGTAATTGCCAATACAGTCAACTCTGAGTAACTGAGGAACTGATTTTTTGGTATGTGACTTGGTCGTATCCCCTTGTTTTCCCCGCCACCTCCTGGCCACTCCCTGTTCTGGTCTCTCCAGCGACACAGTTTACAAGAAGGATGACAAGGAAACAAAGAGAGGGCCACTTCGGTTTTCCCTTCGCTGAATTATTATTGCCGTGGTGATTCCTCTAGTGGACACTGTCGCTTGTGCTTATACCAGTCACCAGTAAGGAACTGGAATTGGCTAGCGGAGTGCAGGGATGACCGCTGGGCACTGTCCCTTAGCTTCCTCTCCAGCCTGTCGGGCCTGGAACCCTGGGACTGCGTGCAGGCGCCTATAAGCGGGAGCTGGTGCGTTTGCAGCTGGACCCCCTCGCCGCGCACCTGCCCGACGTGCTCTGTGACCTTCACAGGAGGTGGCCAGCAGCTGCCTGGGGAGTGGAACCCTGTTGTGGGTGAATCTCTTCTCTCCAGCGCCCAGGAACCTGGGACCTTTGTTTTGAGAGGAATCTGGTTTCCCAGATGAATATTGTCTTGAGTGTCATCGAAGTGGGGACAGAGGAATAAGCAGTGATCCAAGAAAGGGGTTAGCGATTATGGAGAGTTCACATTTCAAGGTCAAAGGGAGGGTTTTTGAGAAAGGGCTACACATTGGAAGATTTTTTTTCCTCTCTCTTTCTCTTTCTTCCTCTCTTTCCTTCTTCCCTTCCTTGCTTCCTTCCTTTTTGTTTTGTTTTTGTTGTTGTTTTTTTTATTTGAGGAAGGTAATGGGGGTAGAGGAATCCTGGCATGAAAAAAAGCTGGAGAACAGGAGAGGCCCGAGTGGGCAGGCCGCGCCCTGGGGATGGGTCAGGAGCTGGTGGTTACTGATGGGGTAGAGTCCTGACTGAAACACGAGGGCTAGAGATTCTCGTTTGGCCTCGAGACACCCACGAGGGCTCGCTCACCAGTTTTGCTCCAGCAGTTCACTGCCGCCTGGAAGCCCTTAGAATTTAGCTCTTCCTTTCCTTTTCTCCCCCCACCAGCCCATGACAGGACGTCCTGCGTCCTTGGGGGCAAAGAGCAAAGATTTGGAGTGTCCTTCTGACTCAGGCTGTTCCACTCTGGTTCATCCCTCGCTCCGTCTACTGCCACGATGATCACCAGCCAGCAACCTGGAGCCCAAGTCTCCTTTTCTGAAATGGCAAGGAGCGACAGGATTTGGGTTGTAGCATTTAGGCCCATCCCACCATAATATGTTGTCTACCTGTCACTGGCCGCCTCCCAAGCAAGGAGCTGTGTGCGAGCCCCAGGGTCTCGGGCTGCCTGTGCTTCCCTCCAGACGGAACGTGGACAGCCCGAGGTGGCCGTTCCTCCAGTGTCCGTAACTCAAAGTTCAGTAGGCTTTTCGGGACTGTGTATAAAATTGGCTGTGCAGGAAAGAGCAGTCAGAGCCCTAAGCAACCCATCTGTTTATCTTTTTTTTTTGTAAATAGCTACTTCAAAATTCACTCAAATCCAAAAACATAAAAGGATATACTGCCCAGCCAGAGTGGCTCGGTTGGTTGAGCCCTGTCCTGTGCACCAGAAGGTTGCCGGTTCGATTCCTGGTCAGGCACATACCTGGGCTGCAGATTCGATCCCAGTAGGGGGCACGCAGGAGGCAGCTGATCAATGTTTCACTCTCACATCAATGTTTCTGTCTTTCTCTGTTTCTTCCTCTCTCTAAGCATGTCCTCAGGTGAGGATTTTTTTTTAAATGATATGCAGTGACAAGTTTCTCTCTCACTTCATCTCCTTCCATCTCCTTCCCGCTCCTGTGGGCAGTCACATAGCTGTGTGTGCTTCCAGAGGTGTCTCACAGACGTACAGGCCAGTACAAATGTATCGGCACACTTTGCACCTGTCTTTTTCCTTTGAAGATATATATATATTTGAAGCCCTTTCCATGTCAGCATATAAAGAGCTGCCTCCTCATTTTTTAGATCTCTGTAATGTTCTTTTATGGAGTCACCTTAATTTATGTATCGGTGGACACTTAGGTTCTTTCCAACTCTAGGCTGTTATAAACTGTGCTGGATTGATAACTTTGTACACATATGATTTCCCATATATGTAAGTTGGATAAATTTCCAGAAATGTCTGTAAGTGGAATTCCAGGGCCAAAGGCACGAGATTTACAGTTTTGATAGATACTGCTAAACTGACTTCCAATGAGGTTAGACCTGTCTGAGCTTATGCCTTCATAGTATGCAAGGCCTGTTCCCACCCTTATCAGCCCAGCGCCTTATTGCACACTTCTATCTTAAACAGGCTTTGCAGTGCCTCCCCTTCATAATTTGGGAGCTGACTGAATTCCCAGGGAGTGTGCTTATTAAGTGTCAAGACCTTAAATATTAGAGCCTGGCCACTTCACTTGGCTTAGTGCCTGGTTGCCGTGCAGCCATGGCAGTGACTCAGCGTCCGAGCCTCAGTACGTCAGCTGTAAAATGGGGATATTAACAGTAGCAGCCTCGTGGTTTCCTGTGAGTGAGCTAGTACATGGCAAAGATTGGTGCCTGCTACATAAATGTTTACTGTCATATTTCAGTGCTGGTGACTCCCAGGAGACACGCACACATACCGTCCCTAGGACCAGCCCCTTAGTTACCTGTGAAGAAACTGCCCGTTGGGTTTCTGCATTAGCTATGGCGGGGGAGATCATGAAAGAGCAGTCAGCCTGGGAAGGAAGCAGGACATGGATGTCCACTGGCTGCTGAGCGAGGGAGCCCAGAATATTCAGAATGGAGGGGCAAGCATGGTTGGCCCTGAGCTAGAGGAGGAAGATCACAGATAAGATAGAGGGGTAGGGTCAGAGCTCTCAGATATTTCCCCATATTGCATTGAAAACATCAACTCATCTACACTTGTAAAACTGACATTTTTGTCCCAATTCCTTCTTAAAAAAAAAAAATCCAATGTATTTGGGAGCTCTTAGCACTGACACTGAGCAAAAGTTCAATACAAATTACTGTTTCCAAAGTCTAGAAGCCTATGTCCCTGTTATGCAGTAAATACTATGTAAATATTTGCAGAAAGAAAAATGCCTTTTAAGGTATTTTCTTTCCTCTCCTACTCTTCGGAATGTCATTGCCAGCAGCTTACTGAGCCTACACTCACCAACCCTTTTCTTTTTTCTCTATATTTTGTTACTTCTCTGCCACCTTTGGGTCCATGCCACTGACCTAAAACCCAGCTTCTACCAGGCTGAGCGAGTCTCTGCCCAGGGGCTTGCGAGACCCGTGCCCGTGGCCATAGACATGGCTGTGGCCAGGCAGCGAATATGAGTGATTATGTGAGAGAGGCAGAGAACTGCACTCTGGCTGCTGTGACTTTATGGCCTTTTATTTTTCTAAATAATGTGGCATGGCCTGCCTCAGTTTCTGGCCTTGCATAACCCTGGCACCCCCAGCTGACCACAGGCAGCCCTTGCATGCCCTTGAGTGATGGTGGACACACTATCTTTCCAAGGAAGCTGCCCTCCTAGCCGTGTGTGGGCAGACACTACCTCCAGTGGGCAGCTGTCCCTCAGGGCTGCCCACACCTTCTGCAGGAGGTGCCCATCTGCTCCTGCACGCAGCTGTGGTGCTGGGCCCAGTGGGCAGGAGGGCAACACCAGTCACCCCTGGGCAGCAGGGTCCTGGGCTGTGGTGCACTTACAGGGGAAGGAACTTCTGAAGTTGGAGCAGGAAGACCCAGTATTTAAACTTGTAACTGCTGCCAGACCCAAATTTGAGTTAAAACAGTGGGAGAGAATGTCTTCCTGTGATTCTCTTTGAATAACAGCCTCCATGCATTTCTAACCTGAAGTGGGAAAGCAGACCCCCAAGGCCTGTCCATGTGGCTGCAAAACTGCACTTCGGGGAGGATGAGCCAGTGCCTTAGTTGGAACTGAAGAGAAATCGAGCCGGTGGCTAGAGGGTTCTGCTGAGCAGCTTCCAGGTTCGCCCACACTGGTTGCAAAGCCAGTCGTGATGCCTCGGCCTCCTCCGCGCTCCCGCCGCCCAGTGTGGATGGGTCTCTCCAGTTCATCATTCTCTGCCGTCTCATGCCTAAGTGCAAGCGGCTTCCCCTACAGAGCCAATTGTCACCTTGCCAGTGGGTGCTGGAGCACAGTTCTCGCCACCTGCCACGGGCAAATGAATTTAAAACTTGCTGAAAGGAAAAATATGGGGCAGATGTATGCCAGCCTCCAGCTGCTGCAAAGCAAGTGTGGCTGCCTTCAAGCCACCATCTAACCCACCCTTCCGAGTATTTATTTATTTACTTGCTCTGCAGCCAGGGAGAGGTCACAGCAGAGCCATTGCAGGAATCCCCACAGTGAGAGAGGCTGTAGCTTTTCCTTGTTAACTGATGTGACTGAAGGGTGGGTTAGAGGGTTCTTTTCAAGGGTGAAGATTTCTCATTTGTAAAATGAGAGCCCCCAAGCCTTCTTGTAGCTCATCACCTCTAATGTCGTCATGGAGCCTTGGGCAGGGAGGCTGTGTTCGTTTTCAAACTATCACCAATTTTTAGTAGCTTACAACATTACCCATTTAATGTCTCACAGTTTCCCCCAGTCAGGAATGTGGGCAGGGCTTAGCTCCATGGTCTCCTCAGGCTATGAACCAGGTGTCCGAGCTGTAGTCTCATCTGGAGGCTCGCCTGGGGGAAGATCCACTTTCAGATTCCCTCAAGTTGTTGGCAGAATCCATCTCCAGAGGCCCTCTCTCAGCATGGTTCAAAACCAGTAAAGGGAATCCCCACCTCCAGTCTGCAGAAATGGAGTCTTTTATAAGGTAACCTACTCGAGGTGTGACATCCCATCACTTTTGCCATATTCTGTTGATTAGAAGCAAGTCACAGGTTCCATCCACAAAAGGCCTTAACACCAGGAGGTAGATCATGGGGTTACCCTGTGGTAGGACCTACCACAGGGAGAGGATACGAGCTTATCAGTAAAGGGTTCAGAGGTGTTTCCAAATGAAGACCCACCCTATTCTGTATGATCACACTCTTTGAAAAGCAGACTTGTCCTTCCATCTCAGAACGCCTCCAAATCCTGGCCAACCCAGTTCTTGCTCCACAACTTGATTTCTGGCTCCTGCTCTTTCATTTCTTGGCTCTGTGTTATTGAGAAAAGGTTTGTATGTGTTTTTAATTGTTGTCTTTTTTACTTTGAATCTTAGCGTTTTCTTGTGTGTAAAAATGTGTTTCATTAGGATTTTGTTGGACACCAGCATATAATAGTTGCTGTCACTTAGTGAATGATATCTCCAGCCCCTTTCCTTATTAGGACTATTCAACTCAATAACAAAATATTAGTATTGCTAGTGTGAATGCCAAAGCAAAAGAGAAAATGTATTTTTAAACAAATCCAGTTTGTAATGAGCTGAAGTCACTGGTCGTGAAAGGACTAAAATCTTAGACATGTCTAGAAAATTCCACCCATGGCCATGTTTAAAAAGTCCTGATGTCATAGGTTTGGGGTTTTTTTAATCTCTGTCTTTCTCTTCTTTTTTTTTTCTTTCTTTTTCCCCCTGAAATAAGACTAAGCTTAGTGGATCCTCGTTTAGATTTAAGTTTTTATCCTGCTCCATGGAGGGAAACAAAGTGGCTTCAGGTGGGAACTGTCCTGGCCCGATTCCCAGGCTCCTGCGAGAAGGGCAGGCCCGCTAATCGCAGCCTGCGCTGTCTCTTTCAGGCGTGTCCATGCTGCGACAGGGACCCGGGCTGTAACCGGCGCTGCAGAAGGCCCCGCGTGGCTGTAACCGCACCAAGGCCTCTTCGACCTCCTGCTCCTCCCACAGCCGCTGCTGACGCCATCTGAGAAAAATGGTGTGACAGTTCCCATCGGCAGGATTGTCGGCAACACACGACCTCTGGGAAGAAAGTGGCCCTTTCCCCCTTTTGCAAGAGAGACATTCTCGGATTCCAAGATGCCAGCCAAGACCCCAATTTACCTGAAAGCTGCCAACAACAAGAAAGGAAAGAAATTTAAACTGAGGGACATCCTGTCTCCTGACATGATCAGCCCGCCCCTCGGGGACTTCCGCCACACCATCCACATCGGCAAAGAGGGCCAGCACGACGTGTTCGGGGACATTTCCTTTCTCCAAGGGAACTATGAGCTTTTACCTGGCAACCAGGAGAAGGCGCCGCTGGGCCAGCTGCCCGGGCACAGCGAGTTCTTCAGGGCCAACAGCACCTCCGACTCCGTGTTCACCGAGACGCCCTCCCCCGTGCTCAAAAACGCCATCTCCCTCCCCACCATCGGCGGGTCCCAGGCGCTCATGCTGCCCTTACTGTCCCCGGTGACGTTTCCTTCCAAGCAGGAGCCCTTGGGGCCGGCCAGGCTGCCCCGGCTGAACTGCGCGCCCGTCGCGGAGGAAAAGGCCCCGGAGAAAGGCAGCCTGCTGGGGAGCGGGGCGGCCCGCCAGGGGGACGGCTCGTGGGGCTCCAGCGGCTCCGCGTCCGCGTCGCAGTCCAGCCAGGGCCGGGACAGCCACTCCTCCAGCCTCTCCGAACAGTACCCCGACTGGCCGGCCGAGGACCTGTTTGACCACCCGGCCCCGTGCGAGCTGGTCAAGGGAAAGACTAAGTCGGAGGAGTCCCTGTCCGATCTCACGGGCTCCCTGCTGTCCCTGCAGCTCGACCTGGGGCCCTCGTTTCTGGATGAGGTGCTGAATGTCATGGATAAAAACAAGTAACAGTCCAGCAACGCCTTTGGGATAAAAGGTATCAGAAAACACCAACAATAAAACAACAACAACAAACCACAGTCAAAAGAAGAGCTTCACGGGCTATATTTGCAGTTATGTGATGGGTTTTCTAAAAGAATGTCCCTACAAAGTATTTTTTTACTTGTTATGCCCTGTTTGCAAAAAACAGTTAAAAACACCCAAAAACATGTCCTGGGAAGAGAGGAAGTGAGTCGGCGAGAACCCGTTTCAGCAGCGTGGCTGATGTTCAGCTCACACGTGTTTGTAGACACACAGGAGCCTGCCTCGGCCAGGAAGGCGCTAGTACGGAGGCCTGCACCCGCCCCGCGAGGACCTTGCCAATACTCTGGCATTTTCTGAGCAAGAGGAAGTCAACATTTATTTAACGCCTAAGCCTTTTTCTAAGACTCTTTTCTATATTACGTTGTTTGGGATCACCATAGCAGATTCTTCAGTGTTAAAATTTTGCTCTGTTTTCACATCTGAACAACTTTATGGGTTTGGGGGATTTTCTTGTAGCTCTTATATATCCCTATATATTATGTTGATACTGCAGAATTTTGACTGTCAGCTACATGTTGGTAAGACACAGGCAAAGTATTACTGTAACTAAGTTATTTTTAAAGTTAAAATATATTTTTATGTGCCTTTGGCTTTTTATTGCAGAGTCTGCCTTTTATAGATACTACATTGAATGCTGTCACTGACTCGTTTCCATTGTAAGCTGTGTATGTGTTTGTTTGGAAAAGTGTATTCATACTTTAGCTTTATTTTCTTTTTCCTTCCCCTGTTAAACCTTTCATAGCAGCCAGCAATGGATTGTCGAGTGTAAAGACACAGGTTACTCATGACGCTTCTGCAGAGACTGTGGGCTACACCATGTAATGTTCTTTGGAAATATGGGTCTTTAGTACAGTACATACTTGCATTACATAGGTACTTCATACAACGCAATAAAGAGTAAATGTTAAAAATGAACTTGCATGATTATAGTAATAAACAAAAAACAAAGACTAATAATATTTTCTTACTATATAGTTCAGAGCTAGAAAAATTGCTTCTCTAAAGTGTACGTGAGTCTTTAAAATAAGGTAAGAGGTGATTTCCATTAACTCAGTAATTATTATTTCCCAAAAGTTTGAGATCCTCCAAAACAGATCCCCTCAATTTTAGGAAAAACACACATGTGAGATCAGAATTTTTTAAAGTCAACACTGATGCCAACCTCTCAACTCATTTCTGTGACTCTCCTCCCTTTAACACACTCTACAGCAAACTCCTACAACCCCAGCCAGTCCCATCCCTATAGAACAAGTGTTCTTATAAGACAAGATTAGGAGGCTAAAGAGGGCCGAGATGCCCTGCGGGTGTCAGTTAAGGAACCGGAACAGGAAATGTACAGTGATTCCTGTCCCCTTGTTAACCACCCTTTCCCCCTCAAAGACCAACCCTTGCACACAATAACTTGCATTCGTAGCCCTGAAATGACTTCCTCTCCCCAGTATCTCAGTGATTCTCTCACGGGGTTTGGAGTAGCTGCAGGTGAACCGCAGTCAGGACGACTAAGGAGCAGAGGAAACCTGTTCACTCGGAGCACTGAGTGCCTGCCTTCATTTCCCAGCTCTATTTCTATTCCGTGATTTTCAGTGTCTTTTTCTGTCGGCCACACCCCACTCACAGCTCAGAGTTTCAAGAGAAACTTCCCAGCCACTTCTAAATCTTGTGAATCAGGAGGAGTCTGATGTACCTCATAATTTTTAGCCAGACTCTCAACATGTTCCCCATCTTAATTATCATTGATTAGATTCACTTTCTCATTTTACTTTTCATCTGCAGCATGACCTCAAGGACAAGATTAAATTATTAGGTGGAATGATGAGGAATGTCTGCACTTCCTCTGCCCCCTGTGACATGGAGAACGCTTCTGCTAGCATTGGGTTTGCTCAACAGAATCCAAGCGATAATGTGCCCTTGCAGGTACTCGGCGATTAAGTAGGGCTCCCCTGAGCCCTTTCACGTGCAGTCACTACTGTTAGGTTAGGTCTAGTTGAGATGGCGACAAACATGCCCTGCTAGAGGGGAAACAAAGCCACATCCGGCTTATGAACCATTTTGTTGAGTCAGTTCTATGGCAACCCTTCTAATACCTGGTTCCTCTTCTGGGGAGCAGATGCAGAGCTGGTGGCTTTCTACTGTAAAAAGGCACATTTGACTGGCACCTGCTGAGAGCTGAATTGGTCTACTTTTAACCTAATTTATCAAGATGCACTTAATTTGCAAACTCAGAATGGCAAGCCACCTGTGACCCAACGACCAGAAAAGAGACCATACAATTTGTGCAAGCAGAGACCCTTCATGTTGGCAGCAGGCAGGATTCTTGTGGGTGATTTTTTTTCCCCCTGGGAAAAGACTTAACAAAGGACAAAATATATGATTTCTGCCTAATTTTAACTGCTTAAAAAGACTGAAACATCAGAGTACTTCGCTCTTCACAAATATAAGGTCATCAGTTATCACATTTCAGTGAGTCAAAGTAACTGTCAACACAAAGGACTAACCAGGTTGAACAGAAAAGAGAACCCAGGGCTCCAGTATCACAATCTATTCCTTTTTTAATTTACTGAAGTGTCCCACTTTTTTCTCAAGTTTCCCCATGAAATATTTGAAGTCATGGACTGAAGAAAGTCCATGAGTTTGTGAATTAACTTGATAAACATTCTAAAACAGACAAAATAAAATTACATATTAGGTAATGGTTCTGATCCTATTATGGAACCTAGAGGCAATCAATTTTACTGTGAAATACATAAACAGTAGAATGAATAAACATGATGGTTTCTCTCCAATAGGAGTTCTTCTCCTTTGGAAATTATGTTGCCAGCCTTGCCCCAAATGTAGTATTTCTAATAAAACTCTCAGACTTTAGAATTAGTCCACCAGACTAATATGAATGACTGTCATTTTGTTCTTAGAGAAGTCAATAAGCTATATAAATAGGGTTATTGAGTGCCGCCCTGTGTCTCCTCCCATACTTCGGCGTCAGATTCAGCAAAATAAAAAACGTAGATGCTGAACGATAAGCTGCCACTGGCTCAGATGGGTAGACCTCTGGCTGGTTTGGTCGTACGGGACTCCAGAACATCACAATACTCAAAACTGCATTCACACACTCTGACTTCTGGTTCTGCCTAAGCAATGCATTTGTTTTCTCAAGAAGACGGGTCTCCCTGACAGATTTTTTGCTTGTTTCATCTGACAATACCTGGAATGTCACATGCTTTATCCTGACGGCACAGCATTTCATCCAACCAGCCTTCCATCTGAGAAGGTCTAATTTCCACCTTGTTCTTAGAGCAAGTGCTTGTTAAGAACTAACCTAAACATTTCTTGAGTTATCAGGGAGTCAAAAATGTTACAGAGAAAGTCATATGGAAGAATGGGAACTATGCGTATGAAGTTGTGTAGAACACAACGAGATCTGTTTTACAACTGCTGTACACTGTAATTATCTCCCATCTTGACTTTAAAAAATCCAATAGAGAATTCACTTCCACTGGCTTTCACGGGAGGCCTGTAATCTTCATCCTTTGAAGGCCAGCTGGATTTCCTCATGGGAAACATTGACATGGGTGACAGATAAAAACATCTGCCCAAATCAAAGCCACTATCGAGAACAGAGTGAATATTCCAGAGACTTACCGGGCAGAGAGAGCTCTGCCCTGCATCGGAATTAGCAAGGCCAGTAGGCGAAGTGGCCATTACCCTGACCGTAGATGATTACTGGAGTGGGTCATGAGGCATGCGTGTGAGTCATTGCCAAGAGATCGAGGATGGAGGGAGAGCTTTGAGTTTTAGAGAGGGAATGACTTGGGATGGCTTCATGAAAGAGGAGGACCCAAAAGGGGGCTCGAGGGACTGGTGAGATTTTTTTTCTTTTTTTTAGGGAAGGAGGAATACTTGGTGGGGAAGAAGATTATGAGCAAACAAAAGGATACGCTGCATCCTAGTAGGATTTCTACTCAAAACAGTCGAGGAGCAGGGATCAAAGCATAAAATGCTGGGTTCCAGGCCTGGAAGAATTGGGCCTGTGCCTGAGAAGACTCTCCAAGTGGAATAAGACTCTGGAATCAGGCTGCTGCCCAGGTGGTTCCCAGCGTTAGAGACGTGTGTACAGTAAACCACACGCCACTGCTGAGAACAGTTTCCCCTCTATGTAGCAAAAATCCCTCCATTAGAGAAGGATTCCTTTGGATAAGGTATCATGATAGGCATGGAGTCCCCTTAGAATACTCCTAGGAGTATCAGCATCTTAAAGCCATCAGGATGGGATGCGAACTCACTCACCAGCTGTCTACTCGGGCACAGCCTCTAGCAAGTCGGCCGAGGCGAGGGAGGCACAGAGAGAGAGACCAGGAAAAGCATGAAGAGCGAGTTCACTTAACACGAAATTTTGCCAGGGACTTTGTAAAATAAAGGGTGAGGAGAGAGGCTTTTCCAAGACATTTACCTGTCACCAAATGTGGCCATCACCGGAGAAGATAATAAAGGTTATAGTCGGCTGGTCTCCCTGGCGCCAAAGGAGTAAATGTAACCATCGCAATCAAATCTACTTTTGAATCCACACAAATTAGCACAGGGGAGGGTTAATACCAAACTCTCAGTGACTGACAAATCCACTCTCCCTTCAGGCCACAAGGTACCGAGGCATTTTTAATGGCTTACTGCCAAACGCTGATATTTTTAAATCTCTGTCTAACCTTCCCTCTAGCTCCCCCACCCCACCCCTTAACAAGGGCATCTGAGGAACACGGTTTCCTTGAAAAGATGATGATTTTATCCTGAAGTCGTCTTTCTGATAGTTTTTCTGCATTCTAAGGTAAATAGTCATGTCCCAGAAACATGAAACCCTGAAAAGCCCGAGACAGTGTTAATACTGGATTTTTCAGAGTAAGCAGTGATGTATCTTTGTCAAGTCAGCAGAGGCGCTGGTAACGGGAGAGGAACGTTGCTAATTATCTTCTAACCTCTACTCTCATTGCATGAAAATGAAGTTGGGATGGGACTAGAGAGGAGCAGCAAAACATTTCTGCCGCCCTGGCCTCCCGTTTTTCACCATAAACGGCGAGAAGGAAGGGCAGTGCACGCGGTCTCGGGTGTGAGATGAGCAGCCACTGACGCCCTGCCGTCCTCCAGGCAGACCCAAGCCCTGGCCACAGCACTGCCGCTGGAGGCTCGCTCTGCGCAACCCCGGCTTCCTGAAGTGCTGGCTTCACTGCTGATTTCAACTGCTCATCCTCGCCCCGCCGGGCCTGGCCCAGGGGTTGAGCGTTGACCTAGGATCCTAAGAGATCACGGTTCGATTCCCGGTCAGGGCACATGCCCGGGTTGTGGGCTCGGGGGGGGGTGCATGCAGGAGGCAGCTGATCAATGACAATTCTCTCATCATTGATGTTTCTATTTTCCTCTCTCTGAAATCAATAAAGATATATTTTTAAAAAATAAATAAATTTCTCATTTTCAACACAGTTGGCGCTCTGGATTTCAGAAGCACATTAAAAACTGAGTAGGTGTTCTAGGTAATTGAGATAACGAATTGTAAGTGTCGTGATAGGAGAACACAGGATCAGGCCTGTGGTGTAAGAGAGGGGGAAGCAAGCCTTCCTGCCCAAGACCCCACTCCTGGAGATTGCTCGAACCAGAAATAAACAAAGGATTGCCAGGGAAATGGCTTCCAGGAGTGAGGTGCCCACCCCTCCAACCAGCCACGAAATGGGGTTGCATAGAGGATACTTTCCTTTCTTCCTGTCCACTGACAGTTTGAGTGTCTCCTCCCCAGGGAGGCGACTCAGCTTCCCAGCCCTCAGCCCTCCCTGCAGGTCCTAGGAGAAGGTCACGGGAGGGGAAGGAGCCAGCTGTCTGGAGAATGGTTTGGAGGGTCGGATCCTACCTGGATATGCCCAAGAAAGACACCTCTGCGTCTCTTGCTTCCAACAAGGGCTCTCTCAAAGGTT